AATAGCACATTCATTATTTTTAATGGAAAAAATGTAATCAAATTAATAAGCATTATAAGAATTAGTATCAGCTGAATAAGAGAAACCATATATGGATGAATAATTCATTATATATAGATTAAAAAAGTTGATTGAAGAATAAATGTTTGAGAATTCAAAATCAACCAAAAATCCAGCAGCTGGGATAGATGCAGTAAATGAATTAACAACTGAAAATAATCTTAGAGAAATTAGAGCTTAAATTGAAAAGTCAGCATCATAACATATAGAATTTTGGTCATAATTAAGTGAAGATACACCAGATTTAGGAAAATTATATGATGTTGGAACTAGAATGATGTATATAGATAAAATGTTGGAAGATTCATGGAAAAGAATAATTAAAATGAATATAGATGTTCCTCCAAATTTAATGATGATTTATTCAAGATATCTTGTTGATATACTTTATGATAAAGAATCAGCTGAAGAAGTATTAGAAAGATTGAAGAATTTTTATTCTGTCAATATGGATAGAGGTAAAATTACAAACAATATTAATGATTTTCCTAATGAATCTACTGCATTAATAAGTATTTCAGCAGAAGACATTACTTTTGGTAGAATTATAGGACTAAATATGTCTGCATCTAAAATGTTTGGTTATTCCAAGAGTGAATTAATAAATAGGAAGGTCAATATTTTAATGCCTAATGTATTTGCTTAATCACATGATCAATTTATGGAAACTTATTTATAAACATACGAAAGTAGAATAATGAACAGAGAAAGAATGATTATAGGTAAATCAAAAAATGGATACATCTTTCCCTTCTTTATATATGTAAGATATGTACCTTCATTTATTCATGGAGCATAGTTTTTTGGTGCTATGAGATAAGAAAAAGTTTTTAAAAATGTAGCTTTTATGATTGTAAATGGATCAACTTAAGAAATTGAAAATATTTCAGCCACTTTTATTACTATGTTTCATATTGATTTAAATTATATAACAAAAAAGAAAACTAAAGTAAGTGATCTTATTCCTAATTTTCAAGAGAATATTACTGAATATCTTAATAAAACAGGAGCTGAAGCAGAAATTAATTTTAAAAATAGAGACTAATCAGTTTAGGGTAAATTTAATATTACTGCAGGTGAAATTCTATTTAGAGATTCTAAATTATAAGGTTACATTATAAAGATTGAAAATAATAGACAAGAAAAATCTTTTCTTAATCCTAATGAATAATCTCAAATAAAAAAATAATAATAGGTTAAGTTTTATTTTTAATTTGATCAATCATAACATAATTTTATTGGTGAATATACTTAAGATTAAAATTTTTAGATGTCTGCTATTTCAAGTGTTAAATAAGATGAAACATTTGATTATTCATAAAGAGAACCAATTAAAGAAGATGAAAAAACACCTACATCAAATATAGGGGAGAAAGAAGAAAAAGTTGATTTAGCTTTTGGAATTAGGACTATGAAATATATCAATGGATAATTATATGATATTGAAGATTTTAAAAACTAAGATTCTGATGAAGATGGGGAAGAAAATGATTAAAAGAAAGGAGGTAATAATGGAATGTAATAAGTTTAAAAGGAGGATGAAGAAGAAGAAGCTGAAGGTGGACATGCTAATATTTATAAATCAAGAAGAACTTTTGTTTAATTCTTGTCAGAGAGTCGTAATGTTAATTAAAGTAGTATGATATGTTTTAAATGGAGTGCTGCTATATTGATTATATGTTTAGGAATATTGGGTTTATTGGATTATGTTTTAACTCAATAATTATTTTAAGATATTTAAGAAGGATATATTATGATGCAAGATTCAAATATCAGAGTAGCTTTAGGTTAAAGAATATAATGGTAAATAATGGAATTATGCAGATTAAATAAAATAAATGTAGCTAGTACTGATGATAAAGTAAAAACATAACTTGCTAATATGAATACAACAATTAGTGATTTAAAAGATATTTAATCAAAAATTTAATCATCTACAGATGTTAGTGGAAGATAGAATGAATTAATGACTACTAATTCTATAAAAATGATTAGTAGAGATGATAGTGGAAGTGAGAGCAATTAATTAGTTGATATTAACTAAGGAACTTCATAAATAATATCAAAAGCTTTTGAAATTATGAATTATGATATCACTGATTTTGATCCTGATTCTGATTCTATATTTTTCATTAGATACAATTTGTTGAATGACTATTATTAAGCCACTTTAGAGAGTGTAGATCTATATACTAATTAATTAATTGATTTAGCTTATGATTCTAATGTTTTATTGATTTTATTGATAGTAGCTTGTGTTTTTACTGTTATCTCAATACCTTGGATTGCTTGTGCCTTTAACTTAGTTTCACAAAATTAAGAAGAAGTTATTAAATTATTTTTAGAAATACCTTTGGCTAAAGTTAAATAATTATTTGCAAAATGTGAAGCTTTCTCAAACACACTCTAAATAGGTGAAGATGAAGATGCAAATCAAGAAAATGAATTATCATTTGAAGAAAATGATGAAGGAGAAGGAGTTGTAGAGGAATTTGGTAGAAGGAAGAAAAGAAAGAAGTATAAGTATGATTCCAAAGACAAGAGAAATTTTTATATTAAATTCATTATTTCCATTGGATTACTTATTGCTTACTTTATAGCCCACTATTTAATAGGAGCAAATTTACAAGGTTCAATGTAGTAACTCATTTAAGAAATGAATGCTACTTCAATGGCTGTTCCTTCTATTACATTTGCAAATAATGTTTTTAGATAAATGTTATGGGATGGTAATTTTCCTGTTAAAAATAATGTATCTAAAATTTTATCTGCTGATTTTGTCAAAGATCTCTATAATTTGAATACTAACATGCAAAAAGATCATTCTTTAAATTTAGGATATCATAATGCTATTTATAATGATTATTTCGATGCAATTATGAAAGCTGGAGCATGCAATGAAGTCATAAAAGTTGCTGGAGTTGATTTGGCTACATGTTAAGCCTTTGTTAAAGGAATAGTTGATGAATCATTAGCCTTAGCTTTATCAAGACATTTCGAAAATCTTAGGTATTTGCTTACTGTCTATGATTCTCTTTTGAATGATTCGACAGCAACAACAATAGCTGGGACTGTTTATAATTTTACAAACAATATTTAATAAAATAAGATACTCTCACTCATGTATACAGATATATCTGCAATCGAATTAAGTATATTTGTTAATTTATCAATAGATTAAATGCAAGACATATATATTAGATCAATATTTTAATAATTGCTAGTAAGTTTTAATGAGAGCATGTAGAAAGATTTAGACACAAATACTACTACAACTGTGACAATATTTATAGTATTTTTAGTAGTGCTTGTATTGGTGTATCTATTGTTTTGGTGGCCAATAGCAAACAAGATAAATAATGAAGTAAATTTAATTATAAATTGATTATAGATAAGAAGAACAACACTTCTTTTATCAATGATACCCTTAAATTTAATTTAAAGAATCAAAGCTGTTAGAGAATATTTGAATAGAATTCATAAGGTTGATTCTTGATTAAATATTATATAAATTAATTTTTTTTCATTCGTTTTTTGATTGAATAAGCTCTATTTAAATGTCCAAATGTATCAAATATGTTAGTTCACTTTTATAATAATTAAATTTCTATGTTTCGTTATTTAATTCTGCTTGGACTTTTAAATCTCGTTCATCTTAGCGAAATATGTAAGACATTGTAAGTAAGTACTAATCTCAAAAAGTCATAAGATGATATAATTTCATAAGGTGTCACATCAAAATAATGGAGTAGAAAAGCAAGTAAAATTTTATTTTATTATAAAGAAAATCCAATTATTGTACCTGCGTCTCAACATGTGGATTATATCTATATTACAAATGATAATCCTAATTTAACATTAGAGAATTTCTAATTAATTTTTGATGATCATTACTATGCAGATTCATAAATAAGATTAGATCATAGACCTAATGGAAAAAATACAGAATATGCTATAGAAATTAATTATAAATGTAAGGAATATGGAGGGACTCTTATTAATTATGAAATGCAATTTCAAGTACCTTAATGTGGAGATGCTTAAATATTTTGGAAGAAATTCTGTGGGAATCCTTTAACTTTAAGAGAAGGTTTTAGTGTGGATATGGTCTATAAAAATTATAGATAAGAGATTATAAAAAATTCAGAAATAATAAATGCTTCTTACTTTGACTCTGATTTAGATAATTATGTTTTCAATGTTTCAAGAGACATAAACATAATTAAATTTATCCTTTAAATGAAAACTGAAGTCTCATCTTAAGATTAAATTCCTGAAGGATTTATAACAGATGTAGCAACTTTGAAAAAAATACCAGAAGTCAATCTAACTCAACCTTATGTAGATATTGAAATGGAAAATGTGACTAAATCATGGTTTGAAGGTGAATTATCAAATGGTGGACTTATAACTAATAAAGAAAGTGAACTTACATTAAATTTTAAGTGTGTTGGTTTAGGAACATCTAAAATTGAGATAACTTTTCCATTTTAATATTTTAAAGATATTACTTTAGTTATTGTTAAAGATTGTAATTATGCTTTTAAAGTATAAAATGTAATAAATGCTAAATACTAAGAAGGTGATACAAAAAGTAAAATATATAATTTTATTTACTTAGCATTTGCTGTTTATTTAGTGATATTTATTGTAGTATTTGGTTTAATAATAAATTTGTGTATAGGAAGAAAGAAGGGATTGGCAAATATTCCATTTTTCACAACATTAATTAGTTTAATTCTTTGTATAACATGCTAATAAAAAACGTATAATAAATTTTAAATTTTAGATGTGTGGGCAAATGTATTAGAAAATGTTTTGGTTTGACGGGAGAATCATTTTTGCCTTCTGAGGAACCAGATGAAACATTTTCTTCTGGTTAAAAATAGTTTTATGGTTCAATATGAAAATAATTATAAATGTTATTCATTAATTTAATTATGAATAATAATAAAGGGAATTTTCTATGGTGCAATCTACAACTAGAAGCAAATGAAAATGGTTATGGTTTAGGAAATTAAATATTATATACAGGAATGAAACCTCCTATGATAGGAGGTGTTGAGGAAATACCTAAAGAGAATATATAATAAAATAGATCATGTGATTTGAATGACTTTTTTAAACAATATATTTGTTTGTTTACCAATATAACTGGATATTAGAGATTATTGAGTAATGGATAATTGGAAAAATAATTTTTGCATGCAGTATCTTTATAGATTAAAGAAAGATTGTTCAAAAAGGAAATAATTAAATAGTATTTCAACTTAATCGAGGGGAAGTTATCCAAGAATAATAATAGAATCAAACAAAAATAAAAAATAAATAAAAATAAGAGTCATCTTCTGATCTTTTTGCAACATTAATATAATAAGTGAAAAAAGAATATAAAGAAGTATTTTATTTTTTATAAATCAAAGTAAATAGGTAATTTAGGAAAGATATTACAATTTAAACATCCACCTATAATTGATTTAAATTTTGTACTTGCTTAATAATTAAATGAAAATGAGATAATATAACCATATATTAATTATGAATTAATGGAAGATGAATTTGAATTTATATCATATCATTTGAGTGATGCAAATCCTATTTAGATTATAAATTCACATATTTAATAATTAATAAAAGCTATATAATCAAATTAAGTAATAAATATTTATAAAATTAGAAATAAATATTATATTTTAATGATAAAACAGTATTTCCAATAAATAAATATGCAGAAGTTTAAAAGATTCAATTATTTAAATCAGACTTTAAAAATAATAGAAGATTAATTGTATATAAGAATAAAATTAATAATTTAATTGATAGTGAAAACAATAAAATATTAAATGTTCATCATTATTTAAGTCCAAAAGCATGTAATTATATATATATATTAAATTTATAGTGGATAATGGAAAAAGATATTTTGTTAGAGGAGATTATGTTTTTCATCATTATATGCAAGATGGTTTTGATGATAAAGGTTGGGGATGTGCCTATAGATCATTTTAAAGTGTATTATCATGGTTAATAGAAAATGGTTATACAAATAAAAAAGACATACCTAATCATAAAAGAATTTAATAAATATTAGTAGAAATGGGAGATAAATAAATTGATTTTGTTGGAACATCAGAATGGATTGGAGCCTTTGAAGTAAGTATGTTAATTACACATCTTACTGGAGTTGAATGCAAAATATTAAATGTATCAAAGGGTACAGATGTTGTGTCTAAATTACCTGAATTTAAAAGTTATTTTGAAAATTATGGAGCACCAATTATGTTTGGTGGTGGTCTTTATGCATATACTTTATTAGGAATTGATTATAATGATGATGATTGTAGATTCTTAATATTAGATCCACATTATACAGCTAATGATACCATTAAATCAATAATTGAAAAATAAGGAGTGAGTTGGAGAAAGGCAGATATGTTTGAAGAAAAACATTTTTATAACTTTTGCATGCCTTTAATATAATGAAAACAAATGAAATATATCATTTTTAATTTAATTGTTGAATTTATAATTTGATGGCTCTTATTTATGCTAAAGTAGACTCAATTCTTTTTTCTAGATTTAAATGTTATGCTTTAGGAGATGACTATTTTACTGGAGACCAGAAATTTTAGGATTTGTAAAATTATTATGCAGATTCAGCAAATCTTGGATTATCATTTGATTTAAAATCACTTAAAGAAGAATCTTTAACTGTTGATTCTTCTGTATTTCCTTAATTTTATTTTTCTTTATTTCTATTTGAAGAACAAATTGATTAATTTGATTTTTGATGACATTTAGATAATATAATATTTTTGCAATCTGAAAAGTTCTAGATTTATTTCTTCTTTTCAATATTTTATATTTATTTCTAATAATTACTAATTAGATTAAGATTATACTTATTTACTTCTAATAATTCTTAATTTTTTTTCATTAATTACTAATTTAATACTTTTTCTATTTCATTATTCCTAATCTATTTTTATAATTTTGTATTTGCTTCTTACAACATCTATATATAATTTTCATTTTATTTTTAAAGTAAAGCTGTATGTTCCATAGCTGCTTACAGATCTTTATTGAGTTATGTTACTTTATTCTCTAATAGCTGGCTAATTGTAGTCAATTATTTACTTGGTTTTTACAAATCTCATCTGATAAACGTTCTTAAATTTATATTAATCCTATGTATGTATTATTATTATAATCTTCACTTGTCTTTTCTCCTAATGATAATCTTGATAAAGTAATTGATTATTCATAAAGATTTTAACCAAGTTTGAACTTCTCATAATAGTCTCTTTATAAAAATTAAGAAACATTTTATGAAGCATGTTCTGAATTATGAGGTGAGTGTTCTTCATTTTATTCACTTTGATTCATAATAAAAAAAATAAAAATAATTTATTTTAATTTAACATTCATTCTCAAAACTAACAAATCTCAAGAGAATCTAAATTAAATACTTAATATAAATTCAAATTATAAATAAAATCAATCTGAATCATCACCACCTATAGTTTTTTGTTTATGAATTGAAAACCAATTATCCTCTTTCTTCACTTTTCTCAATGTAATCAATATCTTATCACCTTTCAAAGTAAATTTACTATTTGCACTATCTAATTTACATTATGTTCTAGCAACACCAAATGTCCAATTTTTATTTTAATAATCATGAATTTTTATTTCAAATGATCTTTCAAAAAATCTAGCCTAAAATTTATCTAAAGGATGTTTTGCTATATCTTTTAATTCAACTACAACTCTTTATTATATTTATTCAAAAATACCTAACATTCATATCATCAACATCCCAAAATGCAAATTTTGTTATATTATTATAATGAATTGGTTTTTATGCAGAAACTTAAGTTGTCTATTAAACAGGGATTGGTTTTACTTTTTATACAATTACATCATCATTTTCATTGAAAAAACTATTAACCAACATAGAAGTGTTTAAAATAGTTCTTATATTTTATTTTTTATGTAATACCTATTATTGAATAGTACTTCACTTCCCAAAGCTTTTTATAATTAATCTATTGTTTCTCCTAACTTAGATTCATAAATTTCTACTGCATTTCCAGAATGTATAAATAATTTCATTTATAAAAATAATGAAAGAATATTTAGAAAATGATATTATTTATAGGCGTTGATGAAAGCATTGTCACTTCAATAGTGATCGCACTCTATTTCAACCCCTTTTTCTGAGCTTCTCAGAAACAAGGGGTCAACTCAAAGATTTGGTAATATGGGTGCATTTGCTATTGGTATATGAAATGCGTTCATTAATAATGAATTATTGTTGATTTCATAATTATTATTTAACTTGGAACAATTGTCATTATTGTTGACCTTGTTAATTCTCAAGTTTAGGAGCATTTAATCTAAATTACAAGATATTCAAAAATTTTACCTTTACAATCATTGAGGTAACCAAGGGGAATGACAACATGCTCCTAAACTTATTCTTAATGATCTTAATGCCATTCCCCTTATTATTCCTGAATGTCTTCTGTATTACACTCAGCTATAAACACCTTTTATTTAAATTCATTAAAGTCTCTTCTTTAATGTTTTTACAAGATTTGGTCAATTAATTATTCCTTTCTTTTCTTTTCTTGTTGTTTTTTCAGGATTTTGTTGGATCCTTTTCTGAATTTGTTGATTTTATTACACTTTCTAATAAGAGAATCATATAAGCTTTCTTACTTCTTTTGAATAGATGTTTCTTCCTATGGATTAATAGAATAAGCACAAAGCTCGTCAAATAACTGAGAAAAACATTGCTTTTCTGCTTCTATCTCTAACATTTCTAATTCTTAATCGTATTCATTTTAAAAATAGTTTTGGGATATTAAGACAGGGAATTAAGATTAAACTTCTGAATTTTAATTATTTTGCATTTATTAGTTCGATGAAGATGAAATGAGTTTATTTTTTATTTTAATTAATAACATATTCAAGAATTAATAAACTTAATATATTCATAATCAAACTCAGAGTTTTATAAGATTTTATCATCGAATAAAATTCTGGGTAATTAGAATGATACAATAGTCTTTTAATTTAGACATTATATCATTATTTACTTTTTTCCACTTGTTAATTAATATAATAATCTTTATGCTGCTGCCAAACCTAACTTACATTCTTATAATCTTATTTGATTAAGTTAAAATTAAGTCAAACCACATCCATAATCAGTAATTGTGAAGTGTATTTCTTCATAATAATTCCATACAGTAATTTCAATTTCATTTGGTTATTGTAAATACTATTCATATTAATATGCTTGTATTGAGTTATTAATTAAATTGATCAATAATTATTTAAATCTTCTAAATAAAATAAAATTAAATATAACCTTGCATCTGTAATTATATTTTTATCATGAAGATTATTATCAATCAGCATTAATTTAACACCATATTTTATCAAAGTTTGATTATAATGAAATTAATTAAAAATTAAATGAATTGTTTAAGATATATCAATCTTTTTCTTATCAAACCAAATCTTTTCTGTCTATGAAAACACTTCAAAAAAATTAAAATTATCCTATTCAACCTAAAATAAATCAAATTACAATTTTTATAAGAATAACTATAATTAATTTTATTTCCTCAACTAAACTTTCTCAGAAATATCAGATTAACCTTCTTCACTATTTCTATTTGAACTCATTGAATAAGTTCTTTTACGAACTGATGTACCCATTCGACTCAAATAATCAGTCTCAATTAAACTAGATGGACTCTTAATTTCACGAATCCATTTATGAATTTCAGTTATCTTACTAGCTTAATTTTATATAAATTTTGTAGCTACTTCCAATAATTCAAGATTTTTAACATTTTATTTAATAGATTATACTAGTTTATCAATATCCCTCATTAAAAATACAATAGCTAAACCATCAGTATCCTATTTTATAATATTTTTTTAATACTTCTTCAAAAATATAAAATTTGATTTACAAATCATATACACTTTTACTAGTTTTAATTCTTCCAAAAAGATTCATTTTACCATTTTTGAGATTCATAGTTTCTGATGAATTCTATTAATATGGAATAGATGACAAACCCATAATAGATTTTTCCATAATCAAATCCATTAATAAGGATTTTTGATTAGAGAGATTACTTATTTATAAGGGATCTGTTCCATCTTATTGTTTTAAGGATTTTTTGGATTGAAGTTATTCTATTATTTTATATTATTCTAAATGATATTACAACCAATCATAAAGACTTTATTATTTTTTAAATTCTGGACTTTAAATATCATATTATGTCCAATGAATGTCATTGAATACCTTCATTTCTGATAGAAAATCTACAAAAGTTATAATATTATCTTAAAGGAATTTACTAAATGAATAATTGCTAATAGAGTTTTATAGTAGAGAATTATTTTAATAAGCGTTAAATGAAAATTTAATTATGTAATCATCGCATTAGAATACAAAATTGCCCCAGAGAGATGATTTTGTAGAATTTGATGCATTCTGTTATTTTTATTTAGAATCAGGTATCTCGTCATCTTCAGCTATAGATTCTAGAGGACAACCTCTTGAATGTTTGATGAATATTTATTCATCATGTCTAATTTAAGATTTTTAAATTTATTAAAATGATAGTTCATTAAAGAGTTTGTTTTAATTATTTTCATTAACTTAAATTTCTATTTCATTCAACATTTATTTATAAAAGATTTCATTCAAACCTATCAAGATACATAAAATAATAAGTATAAACATAATTCCAATTTAAATATCATTCTTAATAAATAAACAAGTAATTAAAATTACAATTTAAACAAATATTTTCCCTTTATCTATAATTGTATTTTGGTTTTTAATATTCAATGTATTATTATATTATCCATTTACAAATCCCAAAGTATAAAAAAGAAAATTATTTGATTCTTATTTTAAATTATTAGCACCATTAATTCTTCCAAGAGTTAATAACCATAAGAAAATAGGAGAGATATCTAAATAATAATAATAATTATTATTGTATACCTATTTTCCATGAGATTTATTAAAACGAATAAAGCACTCTAAAAGTAATTGAAATACCAATGATGATTATGGAAAGAATTTGAATAACATTTAAATCATCCTGTAGTTCAATTTCTAATCCCAAAAAAAAGAGAGAGATGAAATAGTTTAAGGAATATTTCAATTCTTTCTTCCATAAGTTATTTCTACACATGGTATATTATAATTATGAATAAATCAAAAATTGATAATTTTTTTTACAATTATAGATTGGTGTGTTTTTATATCAAGATTGATTGATCTATAATAATGAATCTAAGAAATGTTGTTTATATATTATTTTATATATTATTTATCATTATCATCCAAATATCATTGCCAAAAATATCAAACCTATACTTATCTTTTATGCTGAGTCATCACAATTTTCTGGTTCTGTACAGTTTGATCCATTTGAAGGAGGGGGTTCCACCCAAATACAATTAACACATGTGTTTTTTGAACTACTCCATGTATATGTGTAATTTGAATTAACCAAACAGTTTTCTTCATTCAAATTAGATGGAGGGACTGATTTGCATTCTCCATTCTATATTATGCAAGTTGTTAATGTATTAGAAAATGTCTCATAGAATTTACAAGAGTTAGTCTACTAATAGACTTTTTAACAATCTGAGGGAAGACATTAAGAAGTACCATTTTAAGTAATATAGCTGCATCCTTTAAGTGATAAACACTTAGCTTAATCAGAGATAATTTAACATCCAGTTACTTCTGAACAACTATTATTCGTCCAATAACAATTTTTAGAGTTTAAAGCTCCTGAATTACAAGCATTTTAATCTTGATAGGAACCACAAGAGCTTTATTTAATAATACAACTTTATTTAGTTGCATCATAAACACATGTACTAATTTATGCACAAAAGAAGGAAGATGCTGGAAGAATATCAGCACAAGTTTTAACTCTACAATAAGATCCAGAATCTTTAGATACATCAGTCCAATAGCATGGATTAAATTCTGTACCGCTTTTCTCATAACCATAATTACATTTTGCATTAGTATTGTATGATGCACATGTTTGAATTGTCATGCATTTAGTACCATCAGAAGTACAAGTATTCATTTTAGAATTACAGTAATTATGAGTTGTTCCACTAATATCTGGACATGTTTAATTTCTACAAACTCCATCCCAAACACAAATACCAGTATTAGTTGATGAATTATTGGATTAAGCTTTTGTAATGTAACATTATGATCTATCAGAATAATCTGAACAATTTTGCTTCAATTCCATACATTAAGTTCCACTAGTAGTGCAATTTGAACTTACTCCTTAACATTCTGAATGAGTTTTATAGAGAGCATCACTGCATTATTTGAATAACATACATGTTTTTGTAGTGGATGTGGCTTCTTTTAGAGCCAACATACATTATCCATCAGAACCTTTTTTACAATTAGTAGAATTAAGATTTTCACATTTTTTAATGGGTGTACATGTTTATCCATTTGATGTACAATTTGGAAATACACTTTTACATTCTGCATCAGTTGTTAAAGGGATATCTTCACATTTAAGATATTAAATGCATTATCCTAAAGGATTATTTGTATTTTGTAAAGCTTTAACCCATAAACATGGAAATCCATCAGATGTTTCAACACAAGATCCTTCAATTTAATATTCAGCACATGATGCTGACATATTGACACATTTTCCAGTTTTGGAAGTAGTGCATATTTTATTTTAAGATTTACATTTGAAATGATCTGTACCTGTTAAATCATTACAATCATTACTCCTGCAACCCTTATCCTTTTCCCAAACACATACTTTACCATCCTTAGAAATTTTACAGCTGGCTTCTGTTTCAAAAGAATTACAATCTTAAATTTATTTGCAACCACCTGTTTTTTTTAAAGTGCATCCAGAATGATATGATTTGCATTATAATTCACTTACAAAATCTACCTAAGATGCAAGTTCACAAATACTAATTTCACAATAACCATCACTTGTAGCTGTAGGTGGATTCCAAATACATTATTATCCTAAATCATTTACTCTACAAGCATCTTATGTTCTTGCTTCTTCACAAGACTTTCTTAAAACACATCTAATTCCATCTGTAGTACATTTTCCACCTAAACCAGCTTATTTACAAGCTAAATCAGTAACAAATGAATATTATTGACAATCTACTGTTACACATCTTAGGTTTCCACTATTTTCACAAGTGTCTAAATAGCTTGAACACTCTTCATTCAAATCTTCTGGTGTATTACTGCATAATCTTGTTACACATTAAATGCCATTCCAATAACATAAGTTACCATATACACTCTTAGTACATTATGATTTGACTTAGTAATCTTCACATTTTGGTGTGAGATCCATACATCCAATTAAATTTGAACTGAGAGTACAACTTGATAGAAAATCACTACAACGTTCATGAGTTGTAATTGTTTTTGGTGCTTTACTGCATAATCTTGTAAAACAAGCTTAATCAATTGTATCCCATTTACATTCTAATCCTGATGAACTATATCTGCATTAATCTTCAATCTTATACTCTTCACAATCAGCTCTATATCGACAACCTTAAGCCTAAAGTACTCCTGGTGCTAACTCTATAACAGCAACAGTACATTTATCTTAATATTTAGTATTGACATTTAATTAATATTCTGTACAAGCTTAATGTGTTGAATATGAATTTGGATCAGCAGACAAACAAGTAGTTTATTCACAGAATTCATTCTCAGGATTATCGGTGTTCCACTTACAATAAGAACCACTTGAATCTATAAAACATTGTTCTTTATATTTATATTCATGACATCCTAATAAATTCATACATCCACTGGGATTTAATATTGTTTTATCATTAGCATCTTGAATAAGATTAACTGTACATCTTTAGAACTTATTTTATTTTTTGGGATCTTGTATATTATTTAATTGATAACATTCTTCATGTGTATCATATTTATCTGTTTTTTCAATTGATTTGCATTCAAATAGAACACATTTTTAAATTGAAGGATTCCAAAAACAAATTCTATCTTAATTATCTACAATGCATTATAATTCTGTTATGTATGCATCACAAGTACTTCTAGGTATACATCCACCAACTTAAGCTACAGTACATGTTGACATATATTATTCGCATTATGCATCGCTAGTCAAAGTATCATCAGAAGAATAACAACTCTTTTTAACACATAGATTTTATTTGATATCCTGTACACATATTCCATCAAAAAGTGTTATTAAACAATTGTTGGACTCTTAATCAAGACATTTTTGTTTCATTTCTTAGCATCCGTCTTTTGATTATTTTACAGTGCATGTACTCTTCCATGCTACACATGATTCATGAGTGAAAGGTCCAACTGCATTCTAGCAAGTCTTCAGAGTACAACCGGAAGTTCCCTAATTTGTACAACTTTAATTAATTTAACTGCATTTCTCTAAAGTATAAACAGTGCTTTATCCAAGAAAAATCTATTCACAGCTTTTATTAGCAGGAGAAGCACATTCAGATTCTGCATCTTCTACTTTGGTCTGGATGCAAAATTCTATTTCACTACTTCTATAGCAATGTGAAAGGCTATATCCCCCGCATTATTATTTAGCAACACATTCATCCTATGCTCTATTGATGCTACAAAAAGGACTAAAGGCTTAGCAATCATTATATGTTAATCCCACTCCTTTTTTGTATGAACAATTCTTAATTGCCTCAGTTAAGTTTGTGATACCAACACATTCACTTGTATCATCTACTTACCAAATGCAATTACTCTATGTTGATTTTATACATAAGTTTTCTTCTTTGTATGTACCACAATTACTTTAAATAAGAATGCATTTAGTTTTATCTTTATTAACAGTGCATGTTTGATCAAACTAATAACATATTTCTTCAGTCAAATTTACACCTACTTTTTCTTCACAAGATCTATTTTCACAAGCCTTTATTCCCACACCGTCTGAAGGATATTTACAAAATTCTCGATTAATCTTACATCCTGCATCATTTTCGCTGCTCCAATTGCTGCAACTATAAAATTATTTATAACAAAGTGTTCCATTTGTTTTACAAATACCATCAATACTTGCATAATAGCAGTCCTATGGTTAATATTGACTGCATCGTTCTTATTCAACAACACAAGCATTCAAGTTTTTGTTAATTGAACATTTAGATTTATTAGCTATTATAGCTTAACAATGGCTCAATAATAAGACTTATGGTCCTCCAATTTTTCCAGTTTAAGTGTTATAATCAACACATGTTTTTATAATACATCCTGTGTTATCTGAATTAGCTTTGCAATAAGTAACAACATCTTCACAAGTTTATGTTGAATAATTATTTAATTTTAGCTATGAACATTCAACTTTATCATAATCCCAACATCTTGAGTCGTTCCATATGCATTTTTATTATGCCAAATTCTTGTAGCATTATTCCTGATTCTTATAATTGAAACAATATTATTATCTGTCAACGCAACCTTTTCCATTTACTCTGGCAATTACAGTACATGTTTCATTGTAGCCTTGACAAGCAGCAAAAGAATTAAAAGTCTTAGATGTCTTATCTATACATTTCTCTAAATCACAAGATAATATTTTAGAGGCAGAATTAAATCTGAGAGCACAATCATTGCCATTAGAATCTTTCTTACATTAGTCATTAGGCAAATACAATGAACAGCTTGATTTTAAGGGTATACAAGCAGTTGCATTTTCATTGACTGTGCAAGATTAGAAAGAATAAGAATAACAATTTGTATGACTGTAAACTTAATTGTAGATCTTCAAATTTAAAGCAGTACATGATTTAGCCACACATGCCTCTCCTGTCCATATACAATCTTCATCAGTGGATATAGCATTCTCACCACAATTCTTTTACGTTTTTAATTAAGAACAAGTATCTGGTTTTTTCATACATCCTAAACCCTAATCATTTAAAGTACAGCAACCTATACCGTCTGGTTTAGGACAATTGGCTGCATTCAATTTGTATTGTTTGCAACTCTAAATTGTTATGTAGTTAGCTCTATCACTACTATACAGAGTTGAAACACAATTTTTTACTAAGCATTTTGAATTTCCTTGATCCCAAACACAATCATTATTGCCACTAATTTCACATGTTTCTTAGAGTGCTCTTTAGCTACACTCTGGCAAAATCCAACATCCTTTCCTTTCATTGTTAACATAGCATCCTTTCATATACTCTTGGCATGCTATATTTGAGTCTCTAGTAATTGGTGCTGTATAACATGTCTTATCCTAACATTTATTACCTTTCCATGCACATTCCTTTGTTCCAACAACATTATTTAAACCAATAGATGACCTTAATCGACATCCTTCTTCCAAAAGGATCATTTCACATTTTAAAGGAAGTGACATGCATCCTTTACCAATTAAAGATAAAGTACAAGTACTTAAATAATTGTTACAATCTTCATGTGTTTTTATATCATCTGATGCACTTTCACAGGTTTTTTCAATACATTTATTTCTCCATGAACAACTTCTACCATAAAAATCCAATTAACTCTTACATTTACTTTCCTATTAATAGTTTTCACAGATCTTGTCTTCACAACCAGTTCCGGATGCATTAACTTAGCATTTAAACCAAAATGCTTCACATTTTGCTTAAGTATTGATTGTTGTTGGGGCTTTATTGCATTATTTAGTAATGCACACATCAGTTGCTTCATACCATTAACAATCAGATCCATTAATATCTTTCACACAAGCAATAGCTACACTGACTTTGGAACATGAATCATTTTTTACACATCCACCTCCACTTCTAGTGATACAATGATTATCAGGAAGATATCTTTCACAATCTTCATTTGTTTTCATTGTATCTGGAGCATTCTTACATGTTTTTTATTAACAGCCTTATCCATAATCAGTAGTACATTCAAACAAAAATTTTTCACATTACTCATGTGTAGTTAATTTTGTAGATGCATTTTCACAGGTTTTCTCTATACATACTTCCTCCCACATACAATCCTTTCCTTCAGCACTCTTATTTGTATTACATTCCAATTAAGTTGTAATGGCACTGCAACCTTTATTTTATTTACATCCACTCCCTTCATTAGCAATACAATCACTTTTAAATGATTAACATTGCTTATTGGTTTGATAATCTAAGGGAGCTTTTTCACATTCATGCAATACACATTAACTTTAGTTAACTACCCAATAGCATGGTTTTCCACTTACATCTAATTTGTTTAGACAATCACTTTAGTTTTTTAAATCTTAACAGTAGATTATCTACTAGCATCCTCCTCCACTTTTAGCTATACAGTTAAGCATAAATAGCTAACATCTACCAGATGAATCATAACTTAATGGAGCATCTTCACAAGTTGTTTCTCTACAAGCGTTATTTGACCATGTACATTAAACTTTAGATGACGTCAATTTACATTAATCTTCAAATGTATAATCTCCACATTCTGTAAATAAATCGATGCACTAAGCATTATTGTTTACTGTGCATTTACTCAATTAACTGTTACAAGCATCATGACTTGTAGAAAATTCTTTTTAAATTTCAGAGCAAGAACTAAGGTCTTTGCAACCCAACTAAGGATCCCATGTACACATTTATCCATGAATATTTTTCTACTTACAAGAATCCTAGGTATTGTACTCAGTGCATTCTCCAATCTCAATGCACTAAGTTAGATCAGATGTACATTCTCCTGATATTGCATTGCATTCTAAATGGGTTTTTTTTGGATATACAGTGCATCCAGTAAAGAACAAGCATTACGATCCTTCCCAAACGCAGGGATACTATTTTAAACATCCCTAACAAAATTATTATTTGTTCTAACAGTTAGAACAAATAAAAGCTTTCTAGCAATCATTTTGAAATGTATATTGAGAGCAAAAGGGTTTACCCTCTATAACGGGATTCAAAGTGCTCTCATTTGAGACAACACAATTGTTATTCTTCCACTCACAATATTGGAGTGGGAATTTCTCGCAATCTAATTGTGATTTTAAGTTTTCACATGAGCATTGCTTATCAGCACAATGTGCAAAAATAAAAATTGTACACAAGAAAAAAATCTTCTTCATATTAATATTAATGTTTCTCTAAGAAAAAAAAACTCCTTTTAAACCAATATTCTCATACAAAAAACAATAATTTATTCTTTTTTCTCTTTTCGTTATCTCTATTAATGGGCTTTAAAACTAAAAATTAACTCATAAACCATTGTAGAGTTATTTTTTTTCCCTCTTTTGCTCTTAATATATGCTTTTTACATTTTTGCATGTTATACTACTTACATATTCTTACCAATTTTAGTACAAATAGAAGAAAATATAAGTTTAAAATGAAAAATGAAAATAATAGAAATACAAAAAATATTAAAAAAAATATTTTGTCTATTGATATTATGATTAATAAATTATAGAAAAATATATATAGCTATAGATTATAAACTATTTTCTCTAAGGTTTATTTGTAAAGATTGAGCATATATTTTAGAATATAAATTAAACTTAAATCCCATTTTTTTAAATTTATTTATAAATAAATTTTAATTAAATTTATAAAATGAATTATTCTAAAGACTTATAAAATAATATTTATAATATATTGTTTATTAATTATAATTTTAATTAATTTATAAATACATAATGCAAAAACCCAAAATCTATTATTATTAAATAATAAAGAATTCTCAATATTCTAAATGGTAATAAAACAAGAAATAAATAAATAAACATTATAACAATAAAAAGTATTTATTATATTAATTAAATAATAATACTTCAAAAACTTATATGATTTTTTTGATTTTTTAAGTATAAAATGTTTTCAAATTATATAGATTTTCTCAGAATATATTAATATTTAGGTAATTACTTGATAAATAAGTTTATACTCTACTTTTTAAATATTTATTTATTGTTTTTTATATAATTAAGATTTTAATTAATATGAGTGATTCAATAACTGAGTCAAATTCTTTTGAAAGAAATGCTAATGCTGTAGTTTTAGATCATAAATATTTTCTTGTTCGTTTAATTTACAAGGGCAGAAGCCATAACTTGTATTTAGGTAATTAGGTAAATCTAATAGGAAGTGTAGCTTTAAATAAGGATGATCCGAATACCTACTATTTAGTAGAAATGAAAAGGTATTAAGAATTACTATATAAAATAGTTAGGAGTAATACAATTCCTTTGTTTGTGATGAAAGAATCATAAAAAAAATGCATGAATGTAATAATTATATTAATTGAGTTTAGTATAAATCATTCCAAAGACAATATAATCAGGAATATATAAATATAAGAATATGGAATATCGATATAATATAAAGGAAAGATGTGGACCTTCTCTTAAACTATGTTTTCAACATCAAAATCGAAAATTTTCTGATTAAGTTTTTGCTACTTTAGCAATAGAAGCGGTAATACTGAGAATATATTTTTAGATATCTGTGTTAGAGAAAATGCATTCAGCATCAATAGTTCATTGTTATTTAAAGCCTAAGAAATTTGTAACATTACAAAGAGGAGTTCAATTATATTTAACTGACCTGAAGTTTGCTTAAAAATATAAATTGAGACAATTATTAAACTAGAATACTAAAAACAAATTTCAATATGCTTTAGCATTAAATAAATATTCAAGTTTAAATTTGCATCTAGGGATAAGTAAAGCAATAAGTTAAATAAAGAACCTTGTCCTAGAGATGATCTTGAATCCTTAGCATATATTCTGATAAACTTTTATATAGGAGGTCGATTATTTAAAACAAAGTAGAAGAAAACAAAAAGTGATAAAATTAAAGAAGTTGAATTATAAAAAATGAATCTGATAATTGAGAAAGCATTTCCATCGTTACCAAAAGAAATTATATAATTTTATTATCATGTGAAATTTTCAAATATTGATTAATACAAAATTATCAATTATGATGAACTTAAATCATACTTTTATAAAATGATGTAGAAAAACAATAATACAATAAACATAAAATCTTATCCATGGGTAATACTATTTAAATATCAATATGAAGAATCAAGAATTAATTGAACATTCAAAATAGAGTTCTGCTAGTAGTTTATCTTCAGTAGTCGAAGATGATGAAAATGAATCCGATGATTCATTAATTGAAGAATAGTCAATCCTAAGTGTTATTGAACAATTGAAACAAATTACTAAAACTAAAAAACTACTTTCTGAATTGGATAATTGATTTATAATTATTTATTATATTTATGCTCAATTATATCTTTGTTATATATTTAAATTATTATTATTATTATTAACTTGCAAATATATAAAATATTAATTCAATAATTACAGAACATTTAGTTTTTTAGATTAAGTAAATCATTCTCATTAAGGGGAATATTAATATTTAAAAATAACTATTTAAATAGTTGATTATCAATTTTTTATATTTGTTAATTTTTTTATGAAATAAATAATCATTTTAGCATTACTCCTAATCTTAGTTCTTGGAGATTAACATTAGAACAAACATAATCATTATAAACACAAAAAAGGACATGGTATATAACTTAATTTATTCTAGTATTTAAATGGATTCTTATTTCTATATTTGCTGTAGGTGCATTTTTAATAATTAGAAAAATAGTAAGAAGAAGAAGACACTTAAAAAGAATGAAAAAATAGGGATTAAACAAATTATCAGAAACTGTTGTTTTTGGAGAACCAATGAATGATAATATTCAATAACCTTAATATTATGCTGTTCCAATTGAATAATATAAACAATTTAAAAATTGGTTGAATTAATAAAAATAACAATAAGAAGCTTTGTTATAATAATAATAATAATAATAGATTCAATAATAATTATTGTTATAATAATAATAATAATAACCAGCCTAAATAAATTAAATTCCTTAATAACCTATTGCAGGATATCCTATATATTAACAATATCCTTAATAAGTACCTCAAATAGTTTATCCATAATTATTGAATAAGAGTCATGTAGAGATTCAACTACCCGAAGTTAGGGTTCCATAATGAACTATTCATTATTAAAATATACATAACATCATATATACAAATCTATAAATTAAAATAATTGTTTTTTTCTTTCTTATTATACTAAAAGTAACAAAAGGATGTATATATCTATTGATTAAATCAATTATTTATGTAATTATTAACATTATCCAGAAATATAACAAAAAAGTACAAATATATTTATTAATATATAGAAGAGATAAATGATTTTGATTAAAAAGTCAACTGTTATATGAAAGAGTAAATAAAGAGGGAATATAAGAATTAAGAATAAATAATCTTATAGAAATTCTTTAAAAAGATATTAATATTAAGATTAGTGGAATACTGAAATTTTAGTATTTATAGAAATAAGTGGATATAAATGATATTAAATAAAAATAAAATTAAATGGGGCCATATCTAAGTTAACCAAAAAGAGATAAAGTAACAACAACAGGTTCAGGAAAGTCTGTTATATTTGCTGCCTCAGAAATGCAAGGTATAAATTATATGGAACAATAGGCTGGAGAAACACTATGGAGGATGCTCATATTCATAGACCTGATATTGTACAAGATGTCTCTGTTTTTGGTGTATTTGATGGACATGGAGGAAAGGAAGTTGCCTAATTTGTTGAGAAACACTTTGTTGAGGAATTAATGAAAAATAAAAACTTTAAGGATCAAAAATTTGAAGAGGCTCTTAAAGAAACCTTTTTAAAGATGGATGAATTGTTATTGACTCCAGAAGGATAAAAAGAATTAAATTCATACAAAGCAACTGATACTGATGGTAAATTGTTATTAGATTTTAGAATCTTATGCTGGATGCACAGCCAATGTAGCATTGATTCATAAGAATACTCTATATGTTGCTAATGCTGGTGATTCAAGATCAGTTTTATGCAGAAATAATAGTAATTATGATATGAGTGTTGATCATAAACCAGATAATCCTGAAGAGAAATCCAGAATTGAAAGAGCAGGTGGTTTTGTAAGTGATGGTCGTGTTAATGGTATTTATTTATATTTATTTAATTATAGGTAATCTAAATTTATCAAGAGCCTTGGGAGATTTAGAATATAAACGTGATAATAAGTTAAGAGCTAATGAATAATTAATTATTGCTCTTCCAGATGTTAAGAAAGTTGAATTAGGACCATAAGACAAGTATATAATAATAATATAATTTAGATTTATTTTAATGGGTTGTGATGGTGTTTTTGAAACTTTGAATCATTAAGAGTTATTGAAATAAGTCAATTCAACTTTGGGATAATCTTAAGTGACAGAAGAATTATTGAGAAAGGCAGCTGAAGATTTATTAGATTAATTATTAGCACCAGATACAAGTTAAGGAACTGGGTGTGACAATATGACAACCGTCCTTGTCTATTTGAAAAGATGAAAAAGAATATAAAAACAACATTTATGTAATATTATCAGATATTGTTAATTGCTGCGTCAATGAAGGAATTCCATTCAATAACGTTATACCTCTGTATTTCAATAGATAATAATTTAATCTTCTGCATTATTCTATCTATTTATTAAGTTTCCACTTCAGAAATATCATTTTATTAAATTCCTAATAGTTTCTTCTCTAAAATGTTATAATATTCATATTATTTTGTATGTTGATTTCTAAAATTTAAGAAATTTTCCTTTAATTCCTAAAATTACATATATATTTTTGATGATTCATCATTTAACATTGGTAGAAAATACTTACAAATGTTCTTATCTTCATTCTCTAAATGTTTTAATACTATTAAACAAGGAATAGTAACAAATATATCACTATCTCTACATTCTAATTGTTCTGAAAATTAAATATATTTTTCAGCTGTTGTCTCTATAATATGAGAAAATAACATTAATTATGTATATTTTTTAGGCTCTAACAAGTAAGATAATCCCTTTTCCCATTATGTTTCATACTCAATTAATAAATCAACTAATTCTGAATTATTTTTTAATTAAGGATCCACCATTTCTATATTACTCTCATATTTTCTCATCTACTCTCGAAATTTTTAAAAACTGATATTTTGTCATAACAATACTTTGTTTTT